AGGACCCTCATTTTCTGCAAAGCACCAAGCCTGTGTCAGGAGTGCTAGGCAGGTAATAACAGTGGTGCTGAGATAAAGCAGCTTTGCCTGTGTGCAAGATGCAATCTATATCTTTTCTATATATACACTGGAATTTCATGTACATAATATACAGAAAATTATTTAAGCCTTAGAAAAGAAATGAAATAACTCTCATAAGGCATTAACTAGAAAGGAGTATGCAGTTTGAAATAACTGCCTTTTACTACCCATTCATAGCTCAGCACATTACTGTATTACAGCTGCGAGATTATCTAACTATGGTAAATATGGTCTCATAGGCAAACAAGTTAGCTAACACTTGTTAAAATGACGATTATTCAAGTTTTCCTTTGCTGACAAGTTTATAAACAATTTGGGCCCAAGTACCATACCTTGGCAACATTCTGAAAAACAGGATATAATCAGGATATGAAAAACAGATAATAATGTTAAGAATAGAATTAATTATCTCTCTCCTTTGCTGAATACAGCATGCCTTGCAGGTTTAGAAATTCCATAATGTCCTGTAAATGTGTGAAAATGCTACAAATAGTTCTCTTACAGATATGATAGATTTTTTTTCAGCAACAACATGTGCTTTGAACTCTGCTGGAGGGCTGTCCAATATTTACAGGCAAGAAGATGACATGAATAATTTTGTCCTCTCTGATACCAGGCAAGGGAAAATCTTACATCTAGATATCTGGTTTGGGAAACATATAAAAAAAAGGGGTTGTTGATACAGCTCAAGTTCTGACGCTACTTTCAGCAGGACTTTGGATATCATGTTCAGATATCATGTTTGGATATCATGTTCAGACCTTTCACTGGGAAGGTTTGGATTCTCTCCAGTCTTCTGTTGAGAGAATAATAATCAAGCCATCACCTTCTCCTGACAAATGAAACAGGGAATAGATTGCTATCAGCATTAAGAAGCAGCCCCTCTGACAGGTACAGGACTAAATGGATCACACAGAGATGCAAGATTTCTGGTTACTAGAAACACTTAAGTCATACTTTTCAGAAGAAGAGTAACATGAGAAATCACATTATCACATAACTAATTGGGGTGATAGGTTAGGTGTCTCCTGAGCATAAAGACTTCACCTTGAACTCTAAAAGTAGACTGATAACTGAATCCCACTGGGCTTTAAGAAGCTTGTATTGGGACAAGTAGGAAATTGCCCCTTTCCCACAATCAGTCTGTGTCAGAGAGAGATTTTCCTCCTTCTGGTTCAGATGTCACAAGCAGGGAGAAAAGAGCCTGCTCTGAAAAGCGAACTGTTCAAGTCATAAGATGGAGGAACTTCATAAAGACATGGAGTGGTCAAGGTAAGAAAGCTCTTAGCTTTAAAGAGCTGTAAAAATTACCTTTTCCCTGGATCATTTATTAAGGGAAAGGAGGTGAAGAAAGTTCTGGAAAACAAGAGCAGAACTCTTGAATGACTACTTGAAAAGCTTCTTACACCTTAAAGAGCAGAGAGAGAACCTGGATGTCATTATTGAACACACTGATAGCAAGTGAATGAAGAGTGACCTGCTGTTTGAGGGTACATTCAATTCCAGCCTGCCACTTCAGCTTCCCCAAGTTAAATGAAAAGTATCTCCCAGTGTCATTTCTAGATTTTGCGATTTCTTCCAGAGCCACCTCCAGTCATTCAGTTCCAGCGACCTACTATTCTATCTAGGGACAAGGAAGAGAAATCACAAGCTCTTTTATCCTAGACATGAAGAGTGGTGAAACACATGATTCCTGTGCAGAAGCTGCTGGACAAGAAAGTTCAAGTGCAAGAAGTTTGTACACAGCCACAGCAGACTGCACAAGAACTCTAAGTTTGGCAAATGACAATCTTTGCAGTGCAGTGGGAAAACACTGATAAACTCAGAATGAAAGTTGCAAATGAAGGCACTACAAAACCTGTATCCAGTATGCCCAGTTATTCAGTTATTAATGAAAAGAAAGAAGGGAATCAGGGTAAGTAGTACATAAGAAGAAAATGAGGTTTCCATTGTTGTCTCTTATCTAAGGAAATCACTGACCATATAAGGGAAAATGAAAAAAAATCAATTTAGTGACTTGCCCAGCAGCAAAATCAAAGGCAGGTGCTGGATATAATAGACAGTACTGGCCAAACTGTTTCTGCACAGCACTCAGTAAACAGGGTTGCCGCTATTGAGTTCTAACCTCTTGTCATGCAGCAACACTGAGTCAACAATCCACTCTCATGGCTTAATGCTTTTGATGTTTACTTTGTTCTTTCTATAGTTCAGAAAAAAGCACTAATGCACCAGTCCTCTTACCAAATACAATCTTAATCCCAGAATCCCGGGCCGTTTGCTGTTGGCCAGTTAAGTCTGTTAAGACGAAAGGATTTGATCAAGCTTTACATAACAACACAGAAGTTAAATCCAGCAAAGAGAGCTCTTTTTATCTCTACTGCTCAGACGGCTAAGAGGGGGAAAAGAGAGAGAGAAGAAAAAAAAAAGGTAATGAACTTGGCTATGTAAAACAAAATAAGGAATTCAATTATTTCTCTTATTGCCACTCTGTCTTTTCAGTAAGAGTCTTCTAAAGAACTCAGATTTATTCACCAGTAAAGTCTTAGAGGTGAGGCTGTAACTTTCCCTGAACCTAAAAGAACTGTGGCACCTGCTGTGCTTTTTTTCAAATCTGAGAAATGTTTCTTTTTCATTTTTCCATCCCTACTGTGTATTTATGAAGACAGAATACAGTTCATTGATTAGACACTTGCCTGGTACTTGGTAAGAGCTGGGTTTGAGTGTTTTGTTATTCATGTTCTTTGTGTGCTTAGTCCAATCAACCATGTTTCAGTGTGATACAGCTCCCTGTCTCTGAAACTACTTTTCAGTGATGTTGATGTTACCTTATGACACATGAATGTATAATAATGCAACATACATGTATTGTACCACTGTATATGTAAAGGTTGTGAAGTAGTAAAATGAGGGCAGAACAACTTGATAGAAAATTAATATACTTCCTAGAATATTAAGTACATTTTCACACAAAACATTTCTATGCAGAAAAGAGCTGAGTGATCATCGCGCACCTAAGCCACATAAAATTCAAGCTGTGCCCTCACAAAGGTATCAAATCATGTTTCAGCCTCACTTTATGCTAATATCACAAGTTTATGCTAGCACTATCAGAATCATCCAAATATGTTATGCTTGTAAAATGTACAAAGTTATGTGTAAAGGGTGAAAGCATCCTGCTTTAACACAATGCTTCTAGTATCATCTGTTAACTAGAAGATTTCCAATGACCCATTCAAGTGGGAAGTGGCTAACAGTGTCCCTAGCATGAAGCACAGCCGGAAGATCTGAAAACAGAAGAAATAAGGACCAAGCCTTGGCAATCTGCATGTGTTTGCCTGAGCACTGGGTGGAACAGTTACCTGCCTCCTAGCCGGAAAGACACCAAACAGCTCTTCCCCAGTGGCAGCACACAAAGGACCACCTGTTCTAAATCTAGTCTGCACTACTCACCTGCTTCATAGGAAATGAGATGCATCAGAAGTAATAATGTAAAACTGCTGGAAGACTGAAATTATAGTAGCCTAAAAGGGTTTACACTCATAAATAGTCCTGATGATGACTAGTTTGGAAATAACATACATTGGATACTATGACTGCTATGCAAGGCAATTCTACACACAAAGGAAGAAATAATTAGAGACACAAGAATATGAAATCATTCACCTTACTGATGTTTAATATACTGTGTTAAGTAGTTTCTCCTATCGCTCTGAAAATTAAAACCCTGCCTTTTCTTTGAGTTATATCTTACTATGAGCAGAAAGGAAAACTGTTTTGAAGTTAAATACAGAAACGCTTCTAACAAACACTGACTCCATCATGGCAAGCATATCCTGCTTTTGTGTTTAACAACAGCCTACAAGCAAGAGCTGAATTCGAGCTCGTATGTTACAGACACATACTAGGGAATATTCTTTGTAAACTACAGATGTGATAGAAACATGGGATCCAAGAAACACAGTATACTAATACATTTCACAAGTAAGGAACTGGAAGACAGACATTCTTAACATAGAGAATCTTTCAAGTTCTGTTTAGACAGAATTCTCTGCCACCAGAAACAAATGAGTGGATTATAAAAGGGCATATATTTCCCAGTTAAGCTTGACACAGTTCATTGCTCCAAATAAATTAGGCATATTATTTCCACTAGTCTATAATACAAACCTAGCACACAGCCCCAACCACTTGTAACACTACAGGGTTTCTGAAGTCTCATTTTCTTGTTGTTTTTTTTAACAGAATGAGCAGTAATGCCCTCAAATTAATCTCTTCCATTCATCAACCCCCACTTGCCCAACTGGTGTTGAAGGTACCTCCGATATGTTCTCTGTCCATACTCAAGGTCCCCAAAGGCCCTTCCCACCACAACGATTCCATCTCCACTTCAAGGAGAGACCTGATCATAGGGGAAGAGATCAAATGAGCCTCAGAAGAAGTTCTCTGAGGCAATAATGATTCCATTCATATTCAAGAGACATGTATAGTATAAGAGTCTCTGGTCTTTATTAGAAATTAATGCAGGAGTTCCTGAGTCTGGTTTGTGTAACCCTGAAGGGTGTGCAATGTATCACAAAACCCAGTGCTAACATTTTCAGTGATTGAGTTTACCACCTCTGCTGGGCACAGTGATATTCACTACTTCTACTACTGCCAAAAAAAAAGTACCTAGAAAATATTGTGAGACCTTGAATTAAACCACTTGGTCCCTATGATCCAGCTGGTTGACTTTTTTGATACTAGGAAGACAGTGGTAGGAGATTCAGAAACAATGCCCTATTCCCACTTCAAAAGTTTTGCCAGGCAAAAGACACATCAGTGTACTAAGAACCATACACTCATATATGCATTCACACAGTGTTCACTGATGTACTCCCATATCCCTTAATATTAACCAATGAATTTTGTTCTTTACATACCTTCTAGATGAAAGTGTTCATCACCAATAGTGTCTCTGTAGCTTTCTCCAGATAAATCCTGTGGGAAAAAAAAAAAAAAAAGAAAGAATCACAAATGTACTATACAAAGTGTTGATGTGTTAAGAATTTTTATTTAATTCAATTAGGACTAACTTAAACCACTAACGAGAGCAGAGAAGTTGTTTTCCAGGAAGTGATTCAATCACTTCATGAGTGATAGTCAATGAATTTTGTTTTATTTTACAATGCTCTGACATACTTTAGGACAAAAATTCAATGGAGATGACTGGATTGTACAGGGGAAAGAAAAATAAGTGCTCATATTCAAATTCCTTTACAAAGTAGATTAATATTTAGCATTTCAACATTCTGTCAATCAAGCAAGATAAAAGAACTCCAAATAGAAACGATAAAGGAGAAATAAGCCCTTCACTGCCCACAGAGGAATGTTATCACTTGGTTCCACCAACAAACAGAAAACCTTTATATGCCAGAGGTCACACAAGAAAAGCAGATACCAGACTCTGAAGAGCTGCCTGATCCCTCAATCCTGAAATTAATGAAATTTTGTTAGCCACAGGATGTCTAGAACAATACAGAAGCAGATGCCATAGATATGCAGATGATCTTACCTCAGACCCCTAAAACATTTCTCTAATGGTGCTCAAGTAGAGCATCAGTGGGATTTGGAGCTAATCCCACTTACAAAGACCCTGAAGAGCATTCTTACACTCTTATTAGCAGACCCTTCCAGCTCCAGTCCCCACCTCTACCTAAACCATAAGCAGTGACAGCTATTCTCATGTTTTGCCTTTCCCCATTCATTCCAAAGGCTCTGGCATCACCATATCATCACTGAGTTTACATTACAGTCTGGCTCCTTGAGTTCTACACAAACACTTTCTGGCACTGATAAACAGTGATAAAAAAGGATATGGTCCTAAAAAGCTGGTGTGCTGTGCTCATTGCCACTTTTTCACCTGCAAAATATACCAGGAACACAGAGCCAGCATTCTCAGCATCAACCTGTGAAATGCAACGTGACAATTCAGAGCTTTTTGCACAAGGTAAAAATAAAGGGAATAACCTGTGAAAATTAAACTTTGGTTGTATCCATTAGCTTTATTGCTTAGCAATTTAATCTGATAAAAAGAGTTCACCTCTTTTTCTCAAAAAAGCTGACAGAGACTCTTTTCTGCCTTCCACATGCCCAAATGTTATTCTTTGAGATTAGTTATCAGAAAGTAACTAAGCCACAAAAGCATATCTTAGGAATTCTTCAGTATCAGTTTCTGCAATGGCATTTTAAAAATCAGATTTCACAAATGCTATTGGATAGCTAGCCCAGAAATCCTGCAAATACCATTCTTTTCATAAGCAGATACCTTGAAATAAAGTTAAAACTCCAGGATCAAATGGCTCTGAGAAATGATGGCAACCTGGCCCAGAATGCTAGGATTCTGCACAGCACAATGCTGCTATAAAAGCTGCCATTCTGGATTTAGCTTTCTAAGAAGCAAATAACAAAAAACATTTTGTTTCCTTGAGTTTTTGTTCCAATAAAAAGGTCTCTTTTTTGAGCATGTGCTGATGAATATCAATCATTACATTAAAAATTATGGAAGAAATGGGCAGTGAATGAAAAGGAGCCATTACATGTTGGCATAACTTATATTTCTGCAAGAAGATGATATTTCCAGGCCTTATAAAAGTTATTATACTGTTGTTTATTGAATTCCCCCATGTCATCATTTTCCATGAAGCTCTGAAAGTACAGCTCTGACTGCTCTCATAATGAGATACAGAGAAGTGACTGCTCGCTCCCACAGTGCTAAATATTTAATAACTGGTTGGTTGGTTTGTTTGGTTTTTACTAAACTCAGAATTCTTGCTCCCTCCCACTGTCTTGGGAAACAAAAAAATATTTTCTGTTAGACTGATCAGTAAATATGCAATGTATAGGTATGATCTTACTTGCGAGGTACCTCCTCAGAGGTAGCTGGTAGCCTTCATCTCTTGAAATTTTCACAAAGCAAACAGTGCATCTGAGTATCAAATATCAGCTGTTAAAATGATGTCATTAGTCTCATCCTCCACAAAACCCACAAGCCATTAGTTTTAGGATTTTTTTCAAAAGACATCACTTAAAAATGAGCATACATTTGTTGATGTTAAATGCACCACCAAGTAACTCAATGGAAAAGAGTGGAAGGCGGAAGTGTAAAACAGCAGAAAGCAGTAATATTCGTTAAGCTAGCTTCCTTATTTTCTTACTCTTAATCATTATATGGGTCTTAAATAAATATATTTTATAGTCTAGTTTTACTCCTTCTCCATCTCCTACTTATTTAAGTCAAAGTAGTAACCTAATGCAAGAAAATTTCCAGTAAGTATTTCTGCTTTAAACCAAATTATTATAGATTACCAAATTCTAGGAAAGAGTTTTTATTATGTTGAACCAGAACATAACTCTTAGATAGCACAAACTGACAATCCATCCTGAAACTGATGACACTATCATTTCAACATTTTAGTGACACATTTAAGCGGAATTTATCTCTCTGATTCAGATGTGCTCCTCTGTGTATGCAAGATTGTGACATGTATTATCTTTCTAGAGAGATATGTAACTGCAAGAGGTGTGGGCAGCTGTTAAGATTTTACAGGGAAAAAATGAAGAAAAAAAGAAACTATCATTCATCTTACTGCGATTATCCCTTCTGTCAAAAAACCTGCAAGACAGTTACTTGAATATTTTTAGCAGCACCGGGACAGATACCACAAACTGGATAAGATCAAAATGCACCTGCTTGAGAAAAGGATTCTGGACAGTGTATGTAAATGGTGTATGTAAACTCAAAAGGAAAGTACAAAAGCTAAACAAGTATCAGTGAAAATGATTCTGACTGTAGCCAGTACCCTATAATGGAGTACTTTCCCTATGACCTGTACAAATTGCCTTAACATGAATATAATAATGCATCTACCTCCTGCATCTCCAGTTCAGAAAATGGACTAGAGTGAAAGAGAAAATGCATAAAACAGAACTTGTAGCTCAAGAAATTCCAGTGGGTAGCAAGTGCTATAGCCAGGTAGAGATACTTAACAATCAGGAGAAGTGTGCTGGAGCACAAAGGCCACACAGGCTCGAGGGGATGATAAACCTGCATTGGCTCTGCTGTTTGGCCAGGCTGGGCCTCCCCACACCCTGCGGAGCTGCAGGAGCCAGGCCTGCAGCAGCAGTGAAACCAGAGAGTAAAAGCAACAACATTTAGGTCATAGGTAGTTGTATATCACTGTCTTGACAACATGTTTTAAATCACAACACTGCGTTTTCAAACTGCAACACTGAGTCATGAAAAAACCAAAACCAGATGTACCCTGTTAAATACTATATAAGTGAGGTCAGTGAGCACTTGAGAGAATAAAGAAAAGAAATATTTACACAGAAAGATTATTCCAGCGTGCTATTTCTATAGGTTGCTAAACAGGAACCCATCTAGAATAAGCGTCTCTACCTCTCTGGGAGTTTCCCAGATAAATAAGTTGGCCTCTGTCAGCTACCATCACAAATCACACAGAATGACTATGATTCAGGCTCAAACATCTGCTTCAAAACTCTGAACAGCTGGCTGCCTGGCCTGGGTAGAGCAAGCCTTGTGTCCTGCATATCTCATTCTGATAGGTGCTGCTGTACTCAGATTTAAGAGTGTGGAGGTGGAGAGAAGAGTTAATTACTGCAACTCCCTTAGAAATGTTGCTGAGTATACACATAGATGAGAAAGAAAAACAATCTTTAAGAGCTCCCACACCCCAGGGCTTCTATTCAGCTGGTTACAAGTCAGGCAATTATCACTCGCTTCCCACCTTTGCCATGTCAGACTTCAATGGATTCTAACTTGCTGGGAAATTTATTTTGTTTAACCCCAGTATCAGCCCTAACCACCCTGGACAGTTTCTTACTGGTACAAGTTTCTGGAGAGTCCAGGCACTGCTGCTTCCAGCTACTCACTTCCTTTTCACCAGCTGTCTGAAAATGCTACCATTCCATTGTTCTGCCAACATCACTTTATTCTTCTGATGCTTTTGCTGGCTCCTTTTCTCCTTCTACACTGGGGTTAAAATCCTTACCTTCACCTTCCAGGCTCTACACAGTTGTATTTGCATTTGTGTTCACAACTCCTCAGCCTATCTCCAGCCCATATGCCCACGGATTCTTTTGATCTTGCTCATAAGTATGACTCTTTCTACTTGTCCTGGCTCTGCCTTTTCAGGCCACTCTCCATGACACCCATTACGGAAGAACCAAAACTACAGAATGCAGAGCGCATATTTTAGTAACTTATATTTGGACTAACGTGACATTAAATACAGTTTTGTTTTTGGTGTGAGTAGAGACAGCTACATTCACAGATGTAACTAGATGTATCAAAGGATAACCTCTAATTTAAGTAGGTTATTATGATAACAAGCACATTTTTAAAGTTTGGACCGCCCTACTCTCTGTATTACATCCCAGTTGATATTATGTTAATTAACATTTCTCTAAAAAAGTATTGCTCTTCTCAAGTAGAAACAAGTTGTTTTACCTCTTCTTCTTCAAACGTCTCATTAAATTCCTTTGATTTAACCTAAGATACTCGATTCTCCACATTTTTGGCAGAAAATATGCATTTTTCCTGATTAAGTGAAGTTCTTATCAAGGTATCATATCCACCACTTTCCCCAAGTAAAACAAGTGCAAAATGACAAATTATCAACCAGGAAATCTTTCCTCCCTATTTTGAACCAGCTGAGTGAAACATGTAATTTTTTCTCTCTTTATTCTCATATTGATGCAATAAATTTCCAGTACTTTTGGAAAGAACAAAGTTGAACATGTTTCACAACAGCAAGGGACAAAATATGTAGTAACTCTAGTATCTGTGAAGTAGATTTTAGAATGGTTTTAAAGTAGATGCCGGCAAGAATGCCGTGCACCTATGCACAAACTTTCATTCTTGATGTAGACAAAAAACAATCCCAAGATATAGAGGTTCAAGAGAATAAAGATGCCCT